TACGTCCTTAAATTAATTAAGAATTTGTTTAGAAGGGTTGATATTATGCTCATATGTATACGTTTTACATGAGATTGATGAGATAGTCTGCGTTAAGACAGTTAATACAAAGATCATGTATCATATATATATATATATATATATATATATATATATATATATATATATATATATATATATATATATATATATCTAATATATAAAGCTCAGTTCTGTATGTAAAAATGCATATGTATGTCGTTGGTCTTCGATGGATTTAAGTGTTAGACAATCATCGTGCGCATTTGTCTAAATTTATGAGTTAAAAAATTACCATTGAAAGTGTTGGGAAATAATTTTCATTTTTCAAATTATAGTAATAATTGTCGGCATGTTCATTAAACACAAGTTTTAAAAAAATATCATCTTTTACAAAAATTCTAATTATGTCTTTATTTAGTCCTATAGCGCTTACTTCCCTTTGATAAATTAGGCAAAACACAATTACTTCCCTTTATAAAACCATTGCATTAGTCGAAAAGAATTTACTTTTTAAAATACTTTGTTTTGGTGTTGGGAAAAAAAAATTACATAATTAGCGGGGATTGATCAAGTGCAAATGTTGTAGGTATTTTACGGATAAGCTTGGAGTATTATAATTGTTCATTAAATTCAAACAGGCGCGTTCGTTTAAGTGAGTGCAAAAGACTATGAATAAGTTGGGGTACTATAGTCGTTCATTAAGCTAAAACAGGTGATTCCGCCCCGGGCGTTTATGTTCACGTTAGTGTTTTCTTTGTGTTTAGGTGGGTTTGCGTTAGTGGTTGCGTTTTGATTTGGTTCGTTTTTGTTCTTTCTTTTTTCGTTTTTGTTTGTGTTTTTTTGTTTGGGTTTGTATTTGTGTTTTTGGTTGGTTTTGCGTTTGGATTTGGTTTGTTTTCGTTTGCTTTTTCGTTGTTTTTTTTTTTTTGTTGCTATTGGTGTTTGTGGTTGGGTTAGTTGTTAGGTTTTTGTTTTCGTTTGTATTTGTAATTGTGTTAGCGTTATGTTTGCGTTTTGTTGTTTTGGTTGGTTGTGGTTTGGGTGGGCAATGCCGGGTTTATGATGATTACTAAACACACAGGTAATGGTCTTTAACAGAAAGGTTTTTCACAGAAGCCAGAGCAGGGCCTGGCCGGGACGGCTAGTATATATATATATATATATATATATATATATATATATATATATATATATATATATATATATATATATATATATATATATATATATATATATATATATATATATATATATATATATATATATATATATATATATATATATATATATATATATATATATATATATATATATATAATAGTCAATGTCAAGATGACATGGCCTATATGTTACACGCGTGAAGCAAGTCTGAAGGACTCAAGAAATGAAATAGCTGCTGGTTTGTTTTCATTACGTCGGCATTTTCTATTTAAGAACAATCGTTTAAAACTCTAAGGGTTTTCCTAACTTTTATATCGGTGATATCAATGACGCTAGGGTTTGTTGTTGTTGTTTGTTTTTTTTACAACCGAGTCACCCTCTAATGGCACGTGTCATTTTTAGAACCCCCACCCTTCCCACACCCCACCCACACACAAAACGTGATTAGTTTGTTTGTTTAATATGTGAATTGCATTGTTTCAGATTAAACCACTGATTAGATTTTTCATTAGAAATAGTTTTTTTAAGGACGTGTAGTGTGTTAAAAGAAAGAAAATGTAAACAAAACGTATCAATTTAGTCCTTTAAACTATCTAAACAGCGGACACTGTCCACACACTAAAACAAGATTCAAGAAAGTTACAGGCACGTATAGATCTATATCATGTCTACACTCTAATCAACACGGCACAGCGAAATAATAAACAGTTTCTTTCAGGCATCTTTCCGGGGAAAATTTATTTCAACTATCTATAAAAAAAAATGGATGGTTTAACGCTACAGAAATCAATATGTTTATACACAATTGTGTTGTAAGATTGTATAACTACAAAAATAATATATTTATAAGGATGATAGTCCCCTGTACAAAATAGAAAATATTTATAATTTTTATAGAAAATAATATATAGGCCTACTTTATCTAGTTCCGACCCCACCCCCTCCCGGGAAAAATGTATGAAAGAAACCTTGATAATGACAGCTTCTGTGTTTGTTTGGAGGTGAGAACCTGACCTACAGTCTACAGGTAACGCTGTTGGACCGTGACGGCTTTGAAAGGTCAGTCATTCATGTCCACCTAATCGTCCGGCAACACAGTGGGGCCTATAATCTGAAGGCAAACAAAACTGACCCAGTGTTCGGCGTAGGCGGTCAAAAATTGCTGACAAGAAATTGGTGAAGCGAGCGAGGCGTGACCTTTGGGACAATGTGCGACTTTTGACCTCTTAAATTTCGGTTTTTTTATTATTATTATATCCAAACAGAAATCAAAATATAAATTTTGTAAACCATAGAATATATAATTATAAAGTTAACTTATGCAACAAACGTTCTTTTTTTTTTACATTTTTAAATTTATTTTATAGAAAATAGCTTTGGTCTAGAATAGGGAAAAGAACGATAACTCCAAAATCTTGTCAAATGGAACGACACGTTGTACGAAGCGTGTGAAAACAGCGTCCTCTAGCGGCGGCCGTATGGTCAGATTAGTGCTACAAGGCAGGGCGGGAACTGTACACCTACAAGAAACAGCTGCTCGGGGCGTTGACCTAAATCTAAAATATTTATAGCACCCCCCCCCCTCTCCGGCTCCCTCCACACACCCTTTGCGCCATTCACCTCCATTAACCTACAAAAATATGGCTACCATGCCAATGTCAAGGTTACTCAAATTCCCACAAATCCACCTTTCAAACAATAGTATGAAGGCACACAGCATTGTTCATTACTGCTCAATAATGGAAGATTAATTAAAACAAGCAGGGGCTCTTAATTAATTTTTTGCTGATTCGTTTCTTTTTCAATTACGTTTTATACGCAAATGTTTTCGGAACTAGAATTTATTAGCTGACATTGGCATATTATAAGAAAGTAAAAACAGTATTCTTGCACCTAAAGAGACAGGTGACGGTGGAGGAGGGTTAGAATTGCACTTATTTTAGGAACGGAATTTTAGATGAGAGTCACTTACGAATTACGCAATATGGGTCGGATATCCTATCAGAGTTTCTTCCAGGCATCTCTTAGGGGAGGCTCTGCCCCCCCCCCAGAACGAAATGGAATGTGTATAGAAAATATATACTTTTAATAGTGTTTTAATAGTGTCCACCCCCCCCCCTCCTGGGAAATTTTAGTCCGCATACCGAAAATTTCAAGTGCCCCCCCCCCCCCCCGGAGAAAAAAGTCTGGAAAAAAAAACACTGTATCCTATGCCTTTAACGCAATTTTAACCTGCAATGTATTGGTATACCCCCCCCCCCCCCCCACACACACACACACATAAACGTAATCCTTTCTCGTAAGACAAATTGTTTACCCTTCGAACCTGGCGATCCATCGGGCAGATAAAGTAAACTTAAACTGTTTCTCTGTTTCCGTGTCCTCGGCATGTAAAGGGATAGGGTGGTCAGGACTATGCCCAGACGCCTTTACTTTCCCTAACGTGAGTTAGGTACCCATTAGAGCTGGGTGGAATCAGGTACGCTTGGCGGATTCAAGCCCGGGGTCGAAAATCGAGACTTTCGACTTAGCAGTCATGCGCTCTATCATCCGACCACGCCATTCCATTAATCTTTCTAGACTATGGTAGTATTATTCTACTCTCCCTTGTCTGAATGAAAGCGTTTATTCTACTGAATGTTCACGGTTTTCATCATTTTTTAAATAACTTACCACGAGAAATACACACTATATATTATACTTCATATTGCTCAACACTTCACCCCCCTCCCCTCCTTCCTCCCCTACAAGAGCAGGCCTTATCTCATAGTCACAGAGGTTAAAAATGTGTCGCGCCCCCCCCCCCCCCCACCCTTGTTTTGGTCCGTGACGTCATTTGTGGACCTCCATATATTCAGCTTATGTAATCTGACTTTCAGATATTTTGTCCCCGGGGGGGGGGGGGGGACGCTGGTTATAGTGTATATTTTCGATATAATTTTTTTTTATTTCGTCTGGGAGAGGGGGGGGGGGGTTGGGGGGGTAGAGCTGCTCCCCCAAAAAGAAGACTGAAATAAACTCCATTGACTGCAACCAGAGTACGTACAATGGACCTAAGCTTAGCCCGTGGGTCACCTTAACGCTGGGTCGCCGATTACATAACAAAAGTAAGCTAAGAATGGCCTAATCATTGACGTCATACGACTCTTAGGCGATGGGGGGGGGGGGTGTTGAAGTCATGATGCGTGAAAAATTGAGGGGGGGGGCTAAAAACTGGCAAGTGAGATAAAATAAAGTTACCCCTTTCGAACCTGAAGGTCTGTGGAGCAGATGAAGTAAACTTCACCGGTTTCTGTTCATATGAATGGATATTGTGGTCAGCACTATGCCCAGCCGCCATTACTTTAGTCAGATAACAGTCAGAGCTGGATGGACTAAGGGGGCGTTTGTATTAAACCATGTCCCACCCTTGTGTCAACTTGCCACTGACTTTTAGCCCCACCTTCCCTTACTAGCCAAGTGTACATACATAACCAGGAATAAAATCAAACAGTGTATGCCCAAAAATAGTTTACAAAATACAACCCATAAAGGGATATAAAGGCTATGAACTGTTAACAAATAGAAAAAAAACACACATTCAAGCTTCTTAATAGTCAACCAAAGAATTGTCAACCAACCATCAGTAATCAATACAATCTATATATAGGGCTGGTAAGTAGGTCACCAACCAGTTCTACTGCTAAATAAAACCCGCATGAGCCATAGAACTGGTTGGTGACCTACTTACCAGCCCTATAAACACACATTACCAAAAAAAAAAGTTGTATGAAAAAAATTTATTTCAATAAATTCATACAATAATAAATACATCAACATTAATTCTGATTAATTGTGTAAAAACAATATTAAAAACTTACATTTTTTTCATACTCTTACATACACAATATAAATACACACCACATTCATTAACTTGTTCACCTATAAAATATTGAAATTTTCTATATATTTCATTTTTTTGAAATAAAAATTGCAGAGTAAAATGAATTGATAGAAATATCAAAATCTCCAATTTCATAATGAAAACATTAAAATGGTTACTAAAACAAATTTACTTGAATAACTGGATTTATGAAACTGATAACTTCATAATATGAAATGGGTCTAAAATTTTTACATCATGCCTAGAGCAAAAACATGGTTTCAAAAATATAAAAATATAAAACAATACAGGAATTTCTAAAGGCTAAAAAAATGTAAGTTGTAATGGTATGTTATATTACTGTTACAAAATCCATTGCTTTTAAAGTAAGTATAACACAGATTGGCAAATCACAGAAGTATTTAATATAAAAAAATATAAGAATTTAATCAATGGCAAACACTTGTTTTTAAAACAAATGTAGTAAAATCAAAAGCATTTTAAACTTCGTAGGTTTTAAACCTGGATTTAAAACAATTATTATCAAAGTATGTCTATTTTCACATTTTTATCAGTCATAAAATGTAAGATGCAACAAGCATCTCTTGTAGTAGAAAGTTCAAGTTTTAAAAACAACTTTTTAAACTTTGAGATCGAAGAGTCCATTGAGTTTGTGGCCAGATTGAGAATACCACATGCTGAACAGGCTATTTGTGGTGATGCTTAAAAATGATATGGCAAAAATGAACCAAATAATAAACATCTTGATGTTTATAACATGTTTTGTTTCTTAAAACGGTCAAGAAATGCATGGACGAATTCTTTGGTATATCTGGTCATAACAATCTCTAAGACAAGCTGGTACTGGCGAGTACCTTAAGCTGTACATCCTGGTTCTCCAGGTTCTCAAGAAATCAGAAGTACGTCTCCCTCTCTATGAAACCCCCAGGGCTTCGTCTCAGTAGAAATCTGCGGCACTCGTCGTATGTAAATATTAATACGGAATAAGGTATAGCACATAGCCACCACGTAAACCTGGAATTTAAAAGTGGGATTTAGGTTAAGATAGTATTATTAAAACGATCTGATTACATAAAAATGATAGATGACTGACAAAAATATGTAAGGGTTAAGATAGTAGGTTAAAATTATCTGATTACATAAAAATGATAGATGACTGACAAAAACATTTAACAGTTGAAAGACAACTGACAATTTTTTTTTAAATAGAGGCCTGAAAAAGTATCATCTATCAAAACTGTCACCAGACAATTCAGTTCCCTTCCATGCACAGTTTTTATTCCTTTTCTGATTTACATAAAGTATTGTATGTGAAAAAAAACGTGAACTTTTGGTTTTTAATTCTGGTGACTAATTTTAGCTATTATTAAATTTTGCTTCAAGCAAAATCAACTTTTTAAAATCAGCTTAACACTTGGAACATGCAATTGCATGCGCTGATTTAAGTGGAGATTTGTACCAATTCCGGTGGCGTAACTTATGTGGAAGATAAAAGCAGCTGATATTATCTTTTAAGACTTAACCACATTCCACACTTAGTTACCTCAGTGGCTGTACGTGAAGTCCTTCATTCAGTCCAGGACAATAGCATAAGAAAGCAGCCAAAGCCGTTTCAAAAAACAATCCAAATGTAAGATAATGATTTCTGAAAGTACAGAATACATTATTATTACCTCCCTTTATTTTGGCTACACAGCAAAGATTTCACTATTTATTTAAAATTACATTAATTTTTTTTTCTACTAATGGCTAAATAATGTAGGGCTAAAAACAGAATATTTTTTAAATTTACTTCATGCCATGCTGGAATAGAGACAGGCGCCTAGTTTTCCTAATGATCAGGTCGGCCCACTGAACAATGACGATGGACACAAAGAAAGCAGAGTAGCAGGTGTATTCTAACTGCTTGCGCTGGTGAAATGTCTAAACGAGAATAAAAGATATCATAATGAATAAAATTATTGTGTTATAAAAATAAATTAAAATAATTTTCAAGCTCAAACACATTTTTTTTTAAATCAAGGGAGATCACTTAATACCTTTAGGTTGTTCAAATGCTGTAATTTAAAACCAGAGGATTCTAATATCGTTTAATATTGTTATATTTCACAAAAACAGATCGAATTAGAGTTTATTTAAGAACTGTGTTGATTTTATGTACATTTTTAACCCAATTTAATTCTAAGGTTCCCAGAAAAATGCAAAAATGGAAAAATGTACAAACTGAAAACTGTACAAACAGAAAAATTTGCAGATACAAAATAGTGCTTAAGCTACAATTTTAGTGTGGTTAATTTTTTGCTAATGTCTATAAATTATGGATTTAAGAAAACACAGATTCCCTAAAATGTGTGGGGCATATTTCCTGTCACCTTTTCCCCCTCCATTTTACAATTTAAAGGCATCTTCCTTCATATTAATTGACCTGTATCCCAGAAAGTATGTTAGACTTACCCACTCCTGACCATAAGTATCTTTTAGGTCATTGACCCCTGGGCTGTCCCAAAAGGCACGTATGCCAACCAAACGACGCATCCAAAAGCCATTTTCTGCCATAACAACGAAATACGTGAAGAATCCAGCGCAGGCCTCAATCATACCAATCTGACCATAGGAAACACCAATTAGCCTGCAGAAATTAAATAAAACTCATTGAAACATGTCTAATTAAATCAATATGATCTTACTGTAAAAAAACGCTCAGTTTAATACAGAAACAATAATGTCAACTTCTTAAGACAAGTTATATTATGCTTGAAGTTCAAAAAATAGTATTTTATTACTTTCACTGTATTCAATATATTCACTATTTTCAATATTAGAGTTAAATTAAAAGATTGTAAGGCTTGTAGCATTCTGAATTTGAATTTTTAAAATTACTACTTATCTATGCTTTAATTCAAGAAATCTATACAGAAGATTACATTTTTTTTAAAAATAAATTAGGATAAAATTATAGGTCTAATAATATTTAACTTCCCAACACATCATTAAAAATTGAACAAATAATTTCAATTTTTTTTTAGAAAATCTAGATTGTTTTAATTCTAGACCTTTGAACATAAGTTCTTTAGAGCAGTAGAAATATAAACATCACTGTATCCAACGAATTACCTGTCATTAACCAGCTTGTCTTTAAGAGGGTTTCTGGGCATTCTCTGCATGATATCTAGTTCAGCCTCCTCATAAGCCAGAGAGATGGCAGGGACCATGTCGGTACCGAGGTCGATGAAAAGGATGGTGATGGTGCCTAGGGCAAGGGGAATATCAGCAAGGAGGAAGATGAGAAACGGTGCGATTTCTGGGATATTCGAGGTTAAGGTGTAGGCGATGGACTTCTTCAAGTTGTCAAAAATAATTCTTCCTTCTTCCACGCCCGTCACGATGGAAGCAAAGTTGTCGTCAAGTAAAATCATGTCTGCTGCTTGTTTGCTCACATCACTGCCAGCAATACCCATAGCAACACCTGAAAGTTAGAAGATATTAAAACTTTAAAACAAATCATACACACCTTAGTCCTAATGTGAAACTTGCAGTTCATTTCAAGGAAATAAAAGACATAATACTGCAATTAGGATTGAATCTTACATTTAAAAAATTGTAAGCTATGCAATACAATTACTTTGAATAAAGTTCAAATTTAAAACAAATGTCCAAACAAAAAATAGCAACTATTTTAGAATACAAGCCTAAATGTGTATACAAAAAGAGGATTATTTTAATAGTTAAACATATTTAAATATAAATTTCAGAATGGATGCTTACAGAATAATATAGATATTACGCGAGTCACATGATTAAGTGAATCAAATGATTAAGTGAATCAAATGATTAAGTGAATCAAATGATTAAGTGAATCAAATGATTAAGTGAATCAAATGATTAAGTGAATCAAATGATTAAGTGAATCAAATGATTAAGTGAATCAAATGATTAAGTGAATCAAATGGTTAAGTGAATCAAGTGGTTAAGTGAATCAAGTGATTAAGTGAATCATGTGATTAAGTGAATCATGTGATTAAGTGAATCATGTGATTAAGTGAAGCACATGATTAAGTGAATCACATGATTAAGTGAGTCACGTGATTTAACTGAATCCCATGATTAAGTGAGTCACATGATTAAGTAAGTTACATGATAAAGCAAATCACATGATAAAGCAAATCACATGATAAAGCAAATCACATGATAAAGCAAATCACATGATAAAGCAAATCACATGATAAAGCAAATCACATGATAAAGCAAATCACATGATTAAGCTAGTTAAAACATTAAACCAATCAAATTAATAAGAGAGTCACATGATTATGTGACTAAGTACTCTAAGATACCATATTTCTCCTCCACACCATCTACTTAAACATTAAATAATTAAACCACCAACCTATATCAGCTTGTTTGAGAGCAGGTGAATCATTGACACCATCACCAGTAACGGCCACAATTTGCCCCTGTCTCTGGCAGCCCTCTACGATGATAAGCTTCTGCTGTGGTGAGGTACGGGCAAACACAATCTCTGCGTGGTTCTTCAGAACGGCATCAATCTGGGCTGGGGTCATGTTCTTCAGATCCCCACCGTGTATAACAGCAGCTTTAGCCTCTCTAGTTACAATTTCAATAAAAGATTTAAACAGTAGCAAATTTATTGTTATAATTAATTTGATTACTACATTTTCCAGCAAATAAAATAATTTTTTCCCGTTCGAGCCCAAGACACATGGGGCAGATGAAGTAGAGTTCATCTGTTTCTAAGACCTCTGTGTATGAAGGGATAAAGTGGTCAGCACAATGCCCAGCCATCTTTGCTTTCTGTAAACTGAGTTGGGTATCCACGACACCTGGGTGGACTCGGGGATATTGTACTGACTTAAATCTGGATTCAAACTAGAGACTTTTGGATTAGAAGAACTATCTACCGCTTGGCCTTCATGCGTATATGACCAAGGAAAATTATCTCAAAATGTTGGAGTTCTTGAAAGCTTGGTGTTGTTTTAGAGGCTGATAAATCCCAAATTACATATTTTGATTGAAAAAGTTGTGGGTCATAGTACATGTCAACTTATATATAGGAATATATGGTCACTGTGGGTATCTTTAAAAGGTAAAAGATTTTCTCACCTTGGATCAACCTCCTCCACTGGTATCCCCCTCTCAGCTGCAATATCCTCCACTGTTTTACTCTCTGGTGAGATGATACCAACACCTACAGCTATGGCTCGGGCTGTGATTGGATGATCTCCTGTTACCATGATTACCTGTCAACAAAACAAAACATGAAATAAGCATTGCTGTATCTTGTCACTTATTACTATGGCCGAGTCAAATGGTAGAGCGCATGATGGCTAATCTAATTTTTTGCAGATCCTGAGCTCAAGTTAGTAGAACACCTTTGAGCCAACTCAGCGCTGATCAGTACCTGGCACATGTTGGGGAAAGTGAATATGGCTGGGTAAAGTTCTGACCACATTTTCCCTTCATATGCCAAGTTCACAAAAGATTAATTTTAGTCTGCTGTATCAGCTCTATTAGCAGCTAGGTCAGAAACGGTATCTTTAGAATATTCTTTACATCCCCAGAAAATTTTTAGGTAACTTAATGCCTCTAAACGTACACTGTGTCAAATGAATCTTAATATAAACCTTGCTGTAATATATAGCCTTACCTTGATGCCAGCACTCCTACACTTAGCCACTGCCCCAGGTACAGCAGACCGAGGAGGGTCTATCATTGACATCAGGCCAACAAACCGCAGGCCTTTTACTGGGAAATTTGGACCTTCAGGATCAAAGTGATAGTCAGGTGGAAATTTATCACTAGGAAGTAGATAATCGCAGAAACCTGCAAACAATAACAAGGTTCAACAAACATATTATATGTTAAATCATTTTGTATTCAATATTAAAAATAGCTGCACATGTATTAGCAAATCAGATGTTCTCTTTAGTAATCAGGTTTATATAATATTTTATTTTAAAAGCATTTATGGTTTAGAGTTGATTTAGTACAAAATAGAAATAAAACTAACACACATGCACACAATATTCAACCATTATTTCATTACAACACACTATTACTTGTACTGATAAAAAATGTAAACAAAGTTAATTACTAATGTTATTGACCAAGCACTCGTTTTACAAGAAAGTTTAAACAAAGCTAGTGAATTAAAATAACTGACCAAGCACTCTTTCACCGAGGCCTCCAAGGTCCATGTAAGCTGTGTTGAAGGCCGTCCGGTAGTTCTCATCCATTGGGTACTCCTCTCCGTGCAGTAATATGGTCGAACAGCACTCCAATATCCTTTCTGGTGCGCCTTTCATGACCAGTAGAAACTGAGTAGAGTTTTCCAGTTGGTGAATCGATACCTGTGAGTATTTAAAACACATTTTAAATTTTGTGTACATTTTTTTTAAAGAAATGAAATATAAGATGTGGAGCTATAGTTGAGAGCAATGATGATATGTGTACAATGTTCCCTCTAAGCTGAGCGGTTGTGCGGCCGCACAGTAGTTTTGAGCTGCAGCGCAGTGGATTTTGTAAAATACTTTTATCCTTGTATAAGACTTTTAGAATTACATGTTGCACGCTAGCTTTTTTTCTCTTAGAGGGAACATTGTATGTGAATTCTTGAGTTTAGCTCTGCCATGAGTCTGTAAGATATTAAGGCCTACAATCATCACAGGGAAATAAAGGGAGGTCATTTCACTGCTCATCCAAACTAACAAAGCTAATGTAAAGTTATTAACTTATTCACAAGTTATGAAGCCATACAATTTAATAAATGAAAAGTGAATGCTATGTCACACTCCATCAATTAATTTGATAATACATAACAGAATGTCTTAAAAATTCAAACCTGAAATTTATTGGCTGAATTAAATGGAATCTCCACAATTTTTTTATTACGGCTACGGTAGTTCATTACGTTCCCAATAGCAAGCTCTGTGCATTTTAAAATGGCTGACTCTGATGCATCTCCATTACATTCTCTGTAAAAAAAAAAAAGTTTTATGGTTGAATCTTCAGTCTATAATTGTCTAATCACAATTTCTCTACTTTTGTTTTATATGGCTGTATGCTGGACTATGCAAACAAAACATTTAAATTAACAATTTAACACTTCCTTAAGGCATTTTTTTCTACTCTTAGAATCTAAAATTTAGATGAATGGGCCAGATAGTGCATATCCAGTAGAGTAGGCTATTATATTATTATAATATTATTGATAGTGCAACTTCAGATTGTCATTTTTACTTTTTAAAGGGTCATTTACTTAGAAATGAACAGTATTTTAATAATATTCTATAGTCTACATAGGTGCAAGGGCGTAGCGAGGGGGGGGGGGGGTGCGGACCGCACCGGGTGACACCATTTAGGGGGTGACACCATTTAGGGGGGTGACACCAAGGCAAAAAAAAGCAAAATATATAGATAAAAAATTATAATTCCACTTAATTAAGTGATTAATTCGAGTGTTAAATAGTGTTTTAAGAGGTGCAAATTGAACCTTTGAGGGGGGGGGGGTGCAAATCGAAAGTTTGAGGGGGGGTGCAAATCAAAAGTTGAAAGTTTGTCCCCGCGACGGGTCGCTACGCCTCTGGGGGGTGACACCATTAAGGGCCGTACCGGGTGACACCCGACCTCGCTACGCCACTGTCTGTATAGGTGCAACCTTTAGCAGAAATTTAAGTAATTTGTCACCAATTATCAATAGATCTAGATCTAGATTCTAGTGCTGGAGATATTTCAGAGAAATAAGTGTAGACTCTACACTCTACTCTACTCTAGTCAGTCTAGAGTAAGACTTAAACTGACTCTTAAAGTAGATCTAGAATAATCTAGGGTAAAATCACGATATAGCGTCGGAAATTATTGGGTAATGTTCGTTGAGTTTCGGTAACATTCGTTACTGTAAACCATAGTTTATTTGACCGATGAAATAAAAATAAAGTCAAGTGCATTAAATTAATGTTTTAACTTTATTTACAGTTTAATTGACAGAAAATTAATAACAGATAGAAAATCTAAATATTATTAATAAACTCGAGTGTAGTAATTAATTATTTTTTTTTTAAGAAACAGAAAAAACCTGCAGAAGATTTGCGACAACCAGCTCTTGTTCTGTTAGTAAATAAGACGATTAGATTAACTAAAGTTAAAAGTAGTAAGAATAACTAGAATAATGTTTAGTAGCAGCAAAAATTAGCACATACACTTAAAATAATTAGAAATACAAAATAATTAGCAAAACAGTATTTAAAATGCAACTAAAATCAATCCTTGCACATTTTTAAACACTATGTATTAAAAATAATATGGCGGCAAATAAATGATGGTTTACAGTATTTCCGGTGGTTTCCGGAACGGCTCGACAGACTACGCCATGGTTTTACTGTTTTTTTACTGCTGTACAGTTCCGGAATAATAACCGACGCTATATCGTGATTTTACCTAATCTAGATCTAGATCTAGATCTAAGTGACTAAGTCTTAAACTAAAACTCTAGTGATGTCTAGATTTTAAGATTTTAGATTAGGATTAGGTTTACCTCTTCAGAACAGTAATATTCTCCTGTCCAACCTTAAATTCAGCTCGATTACATAACATTGCTACACGAGAGAGGCTAATCCATGTCGGGTCATCAGGTGGGAAGGAGCTCACTAGAGTAGAAAAAGAAAGTAAAAGTTGAATAAATAGGCGGCCTACCTAGTAACGTTTATTTATTTCCCTTCATAAAGATCTAAAAATAGAATCAAATCAACATACTCGTTTGATCCTCTCTTGTGTCAGCTTCAAGTATTTGCCCATTGAACCATAAATGTGAAACGGTCATTCTGTTTTGTGTCAATGTCCCTGTTTTGTCCGAGCAGATAGTTGAGGTGGAACCAAGCGTTTCAACAGCCTCCAGGTTCTTTACAAGACAATTTTTCTTGGCCATACGCTTAGCTGTCAGCGTTAGACAGACCTATCAAGAAGTAATTTAATTTCTTAAAGTAGGCCTAATTATTTGAAAAAAAATCTATACTAATATAGGTCTAATAATTAATTACATCTTGTAATTAATCAAAATATGTTCAATAGTTAAATTTGTAGTGTTTCTTTCAGACATTTTTTCTCCAGGAAAGAGGGGAGGGGCGCCTGAAACTACTGGGCAGTAGCGTAGCAAGGGGGGGGGGGGGACATATGTCCCCGGGCGCCGACCTTAGGGGGCGCCAAAATGGGTTGGAAAAATAAATTGAAAGGTTGAGGGGGGTGCAAATCGAAATCTTGAGGGGGAGGGGGGGGGGGTGACAATGGTAAAACAAAGTATACATTTTCAATATGAATTAAAATAATGTTCTGTTTCCTTCGGGGGTAAGACCATTTAGGGGGTGACTTTGTTTCGAAGAGGGGGGGGCACCAGAATTTTTTTAATAGGATGTAGGTTCTGATACTTGTGGTTTCAACATAATCATCATCTTTTCCCTTACATGCCCAAGACAATAGGAGTAGATGAAGTAGAGTCCATCTGTTTCGCTGAATTCGGCATTTAAAATGATAGTGTGGTCAGCACTATGCCCAGCCGTCTTTGTTTCCCTAAAATAAGTCAGGTACCTATCAGAGCTGAGTGGACTCAGGGATGTCTTGCATTCACCAGTCCGAACCAAGATTCGAACTCGGGACGTTCGGGCTAGCAGTCAAGCGCTCTATCATTCGGCCACCCAGTCCCACTTTAGGTTTACAATCACCAATTAATTTTGTCTATTCTATGATAAATGTTATGCGGAAAAGATTTAATGAAAATTCATGACAATTCCGCATACCGTAACAGTGACCAGTAGCCCCTCCGGAACGTTAGCCACAATGATACCAATCAAGAAGATGACAGCGTCCAGCCAGAAGTAGCCGAAGAAGAAACAGATGATGAAGAAAAGAACTCCCAGAAACACGGCAACAGCAGTGATGACGTGGATGAAATGGGAAAGCTCTTTGGCGATGGGCGTTTCTCCAACCTCCAACCCAGAGGCCAAATTGGCAATACGGCCCATGACGGAGTTGTCGCCCGTCTTGATCACGATACCAACAGCAGTTCCTATAATATAATAGAAAAACAAGTTAATAAAAAGTCTAGTGACAATTTAAGCGCAATTTCCTTAATTAATTTTCTGTGACCGAACGAAAGGATATTTTTGAAAACTTTCTTCGGCAATATTGTTCTAAATTATGGCAGGAATCGATTGGTAAATGTTTCAAGTCAATAAGTGGTCTGGTTGACGAGATATGGGCCAAAAACTGCATTTTTTCGAGGTTTTTTGGCTTTTCCGGGAAATCCAGGAAGGAATTCCGGGAATTTTTTTGGCCCACAATCATCCTCGGAACTTGCTTAACATATTTGCTTTGGAACTAGTCCTCGATATTGCTTCGTTGAGGAGGAGATACGACTTAAAGCTGCGGACAAACATCGGACACACATCAATCCTTGACGAGTTAATAATCGCAATTCTCCAGTATGGAAATTGCGCTAAAAATAATATGTAGGCCTACTGTATGAATTGTAATTTTTAAAAATTTAACATACGAGGCGGATAAGAAATGCAAGTCCCTTTATTGTTACGAACACCTAGCTATTTTTAAAAAATTGCTAAGGAATCTTCCATAAAATATGACACGCCCCACCGTCACCATAAGCCAGATTTCCCCCCCCCCCCCCCGAAATGACTCACGCCTCAGCCTATATATACCTAAGGCAGATCACTCTAAAACTAGCGTCACACTTCAGCCTACCTGAGCCAGATCCATATATTTTGTGATAATAATGAGAAAATGTGACTCCTTTATTTGCACCCCCCCCAGAGGCGTAGCGAGGGGGGGGGTACATATGTCCCCGGGTGCCGACCTTAGGGGGCGCCAAAATGGGTTGTAAAAACAAATTAAAATGTCATTTTAGCTGCATTTTTGCAATTTGAGGGGGGGGTGAAAAATCGAAAGTTTGAGGGGGGATGGGGGGGGGGGGTTGGGTGGGTGCGAATAGAAAATTTGAAGGGGGGGGGGGTGCCCCCCTCACCGCTACGCCTCTGAAAGGAGTAAAATCCTAAGTAAGCGTACCGAACCATTAGATGACAATTATTGGTATACGCCAAAAAAAAAAGATTTAAGCTATACGTTTGGTACAGTTGCAGAAGCTGCCGAAAGAAAACCAGAGTTGGTGCTCCTATCGCCTTAAAGACTTCACTCCTGTTTGATTCCAGAGTTTTCTCCTGTTGTCCCTATTTAACGAGTCTATTCTGCATGGGCGCTCGAATTCGGGAATTTCGGGTAAGCAACCATGAGCTTTCCCATTCGTGTCCTTTTGATTCGATTCACATGAGGCAGATGGAGTAGATATTTCATCGGTTTCATATGAAGGGATAGTGTGGTTAGGTACCCATCAGAGCTGGGTGGACTCAGGGATGTTCCGCATTCATGAGTTCGAACCGAGATTCGAACTCGCGACGTTTGGGTTAGCAATTAAAATGCTGTATCATTAAGCCACACATCTGTTTTATATGAATGGATAGTGTGTTTACCTTTGCTTTCCCTAACGTGAGTTATGTACCCTTCAGAGCTGGATGGACACAGGGAGCTGTACTGAACCCGAAATCGAACTCGATACTTTCGTGTTAGCAGTCTAGCTCTCTAATTCTAGGCCACGATTACGCTACTGTACCTTAAGATTCAGACTGAGGGCGTTACCTTCGACAACGTTGGTGGAGAAGAAGATGACGTTTTTCGTCTCTAGTGGGTTCTCGTTAGTAAACTCAGCTGATCGGGCTTGTGGTTCAGCTTCGCCAGTCAAGGAAGAGTTGTCGACCTGTAGAACATTTAGGTCTATGGTAACTAAAAAATTTGACATTATGACCCATCTCCTTCTACATGTATGTATACTCAAGCTACCCTTTCGAACCTGCGGTCTGTGAAGGTAAATTAAGTAGAGTTAAGTGTTTCTGTGAACTCGGCATATGAAGGGATAGTGTGGTCAGGATTATGCTCAGCCGATTTTACTCTATCTCAGAATCTAAGCTAAGGATCCGAACTTGAGACTTTTGGATTTGCAGTTTTACGCTCTGCCGTTCAACCACTCCGCACCATACCCAGCTTATGTAACGCTATACCAAATTCCATTGACCACCACCTCTCATGTAATATATCTAGGATCACGTCGACTTCCCCTCTCCCCCACCCCCATTTGTGTCTACCTTATGTCGAAAATGGATAAGTCTCATATGTCATAGACGGATGTCTCCCAAACGTCATGAATAGAAAACTATATTTTTAATAGAGTTGAAAATACGTGTCTAGATTACATAAACAGCTTAACTCTACTTCACCTATCATACAGATCGTGAGGTGTCGATAAAACGTACCTTCAACCCGTGAGCAGATATCACGCGCATGTCCGCGGGCACACGGTCACCAAACTTGACCTCCACAATGTCCCCTGTGACCAGATGAGCCGCCAGGACGTTCAACTTCTCCCCGCCCCTCACGACGATGGCGTTCTGGTAAACAAACAAAAAAAAACAATTTATTACGTAAGGTCACCCTGTAGTGTCACCCCGTACTGTTACACCGTGGTATCACCCTTTGGTAAGTCGCCACCCCATAGTGCCACCCCATAGTGCCACCCCATAGTGCCACCCCATAGTGCCACCCCATAGTGCCACCCCGTGTAGAATGACGCCCCGTGTAGAATGACGCCCCGTGTAGAATGACGCCCCTTGTACAATGACGCCCCTTGTACAATGACGCCCCTTGTACAATGACGCCCTTTGTACAATGACGCCCTTTGTATAATGACGCCCCTTGTACAATGACGCCCCTTGTTCAATGACGCCCCAAGTATAATGACGCCCCACGCACAACGACGACCTACGCACAACAACGCTCATGTAGAATGACGCCCCAAGTAGAATGACGCCCCAAGTAGAATGACGCCCCAAGTAGAATGACGCCTCATGTACAATGACGCCCCATGTAGAATGACGCCCCATGTACAATGACGCCCCATTGAAACCCACCTGAGGGACCATGTTCTTGAACGAGTCCATGATTCGTGAGCTCTTGGCCTCCTGATAGTACCCGAAACACCCGGATATGATGACCACCGCCGCCAACACGATACCCAGGTACAGCTGAAAATAAAGAAATGATCGATCTTTTTTTAAACATTTATTATTAGGTAAACAGACCCTAATGTTGTAAATTATGGTACCGCTTGGTCGAATGGTAGAGCATTAGGTTATTAGTCCGTAGGTCTCGAGTTCGGATCCTGGTTGACTCGAGACTGTAGAATGTCCCTGAGTCCACCCAGCTCTGATAGGTACCTCACAAACTTTGGGGATAGTAAAGGTTTCTGGGCATATATTAAGAACTCTACTTCACCTGCCCTATGGGTCCTTAGGTTTGAAAGGGGAGCTTCAATGTTGTAAATTAGTTGAAGTTGGCATAATAAAACAAATATAGTTAATGGCATCTGAAGCCAAAAATACATGAACTCTACTTCATCTACGCTCTCGTACATCAGATCTTGAATATAATTTATGAGGATTTTTTTTTTTTTTTTTGGCTCTGTGGGGGAAAGTTAATTTCGACAGTTGCAATGTCAAAGCAAGGAGTCAAATATCGAACATAGCCAAGAAAATGCCTTTCCTTAAATTAATCACGGGTACTGATTTGGGGCGGAGTGGACTCCAGGTCGTGGTGAACAGAGTTTCTTCCAGGCATCTCTTCGGGGGCGGGGGGGCTTAGCCCCCCGAAAAAAAATTTCCGCCCCCCCCTCCCCCCCCCCCCGAACGAAATGAAATTTATATGATTTATATACAAAATATATACTTTTAGCAGTGTCCGCCCCCCCCCCCGAAGAAAGTCTACCGCCCCCCCCCCCCCCCGAAAATTTCAAATGCCCCCCCCCCCCCCCGGAGACAAAAGTCTGGAAGAAACACTGGTGGTGAAGGTCAAAGTTGAATTATGTATGACCTATCGTCAGACCTGGGACTTTGTAAGCGCGTATAATACTGATATCTGTTTCTATTTCTGTGGTGTTGTAAACAGTGGCGCAACTAGAGGGTGTGTAGGAAAGGGGGTGCGCCTGAGTCAATTTTAACTCTATCTTATAATAATTTCATCATACTGCGTAAAATATTTTAACTGCAGACTGCACTGTAATTGTATTTATAACTTAGTACAATACGACAGTATTCAAGCATTTCAACCGGATACTTATAGACTGATTTTTTTAAATATTTTAAAGCTCTTACATTATCGCCGGGTGGGCTGTCCATTTCCGCTGCCTGTATCGCGTAGGCGATAAAACACAGGATCGATCCCGCCCACAGCAGGAGGGAGAAACCGCCCAACATTGTTTTAGCGAACTTGACCCACTCAGGCTTCTCCGGGGGAGGCGTCAGCTCATTCAGTCCGTTTAGCTCCAAGAGCTCTTTAGCTCGCTCTTGCGAGTGTCCCTGTGGAGAATGTAAACTTTTATTAATGTAAGAGCTTAGTGGTGTTTTATTCAAATAAGGTACAAGGCAACAATCACTCTTCGCCAAGTCGAATAGGCACCATTATGATGATACGCTGGACAGTATCAGCGTAATGTTTGGTTCAATAGGTTTCGTAACACTGGGTTTAACTTAAGTTCAGCAGCGTCACAAGGCGGGGGCGTGGAAGGGTGAGACCATTTAGGGGGTGAGACCATTTAGGGGGTGAGACCATTTAGGGGGTGAGACCTTCCGAAGAGCCTGGTACGTCGGAGGAGAGGTGCAAGACTACCGGGAACCAGAAGGGTTTGCTCTCGACCCTAACCAGATATTTTGACTTTAAGCTGCGGCCTTCACGTGGATTCGGATGTGTGCCACTAGTCGGACCAAGCTCATGACCCCCCTAATGGGTGCGGAATGGCTAGTGGTAGCCAACAGCAGCTAGAGGTTTTTGATCTGGCCGAGTAGAACTGCTGTATGCGCTAGGTTCAAAGAATGGCCGAACGCCCCCCACGATCAAGCTGGGTACCAGGCGGTAGGAGGACGTCCCGCGTCTGGTGGGCGGGGAAGGAAAGCCCGGTGAGAGCCGACGGAAGTAGCGACCGATGTGTGGGAAAACTCTTGTGGACGGAGTTTGCTGCACTGAGGCCTGCCTGGCTAATGGAAGTCAACCTTCTGAGCCGGTTTCCGTATAGAGAGAAGAGAGAGAGAGAGAGAGAGAGAGAGAGAGAGAGAGAGAGAGAGAGAGAGGGTGAGACCATTTAGGGGGTGAGACCATTTAGGGGGTGAGACCATTTAGGGGGTGAGACCATTTAGGGGGTGAGACCAAATCTTGAAGTCGTAAAATTTACTGTCCAAAACAATATTTTATCATGTTAAAATTTTTAAAAACTGAGGGACGGGGGTGACACCACGTCGAAAATGCTAAATTGTTATGTGGGGGCAGTGTGACACCCTCGGTTACCGCATCGGGTGACACCCAATATAGTAACGTCACTGCTCTAGTTTAACCGCCATTCTGGTCTAAAGCGTAACGCTAGCTGTAACAGTTAAACATGCATTAAAAATATCTTATAAGATATTGCATTGCCATGTAGAGGATCAAAGGCATGCAAATCTTACACTTAGCTAACTTATTATCTTAATGATAATAGATATACCTTAAGTCCTGTCAATTAGCGAACAAGAGCTACTGACCCATATCTGCATAAGTACCCTAGCGTTAGAGTGCTAGACTGCTAACCAGAAGCCTAGCGTTCGAATCCGTGTTCAAGTCAGTAGAACGTCCCCTGAGTCCACCCAGCTCACTTTAGAGAAAGTAAAGGCGGCTATGCATAGTGATGACCACACTATTGCCTTGTATTCCAAGGCCACCGAAACAGGTGAACTCTACTTCACTTGCCCGATGGACTGTCAGGTTCGAAAAGAAATTTTACTTTTAGTTATGTCATAATCTATACAAGTCGGGACGTGGATCTGGAAATGTTACATACAATTTTTTTTTACCCTCTAACTAAAAATGTACCCTAACAATACCACCATCCCAACACCCAGCAAAATCCCACCTTCACTGGGTCCACACCCAGCCTCTCGTACAACTCTTCCAGAGGAATTTTGTGCTCGTCCATGTCAAGTTCCCTCTTCAGTCCGTCCATTTCCGCCACACTTTTCTTCCTCTTTTTCTTCTTGTCCTTTTTGATGGGCGCGACGCCATTTTGGACCTGCGCATCAGATAGAATACGTGTTACGGAAAATTTGTTTTAATGTTAATGCGTGTTAATCGTTAAAAATCTCTTTGGAAAAGTGGTCTTTCATACCACTGTCCAAAAATTAACTCTCAATATATAGGTTGTAATTGTTAATTTTAGGTATGAGTCAATATTAGGGGTTGATATAAGTAATATTAGTAATTTACAAATTTGAGTGTGAGAGAGAGTATCATGCAAGAGCCGATATTTTTTTTTTAAAACTAAAGTAAAAACTTGGGACA